ATTTTTTCTGTTTTGTTCCGTGCCTCAGATTGTTCGGGGCTACATCTGGGGATGCCATACCTACAAATGGGTGTGGATCCTGGAATGTTGCTGCGAGCTAGATACATTCGAGTACTGGGTCGACTGCACGTTTTATGCAGTCGTAATTGCTGGGGGAGCCTTAGGCATCACCCAGCATAAGAAGATCCTTGATCCAGCGGTAAGATCGAAGTCTCGAGCCATTCAGGGCTCAAGAGTGCGATGACTAAGCCACGTCTTCACCGCCGTCAGAACCTCAAATGCCACCAATAAATCTGATTTCTGGAATTGTACAATTTATTTTTGTAAATCGTGATTTTCCGGGGGGTGGCAACAGGAACCCCAAAACGCACATTTTTAAGGGAGCCTCGTATTCGAAATTGCACTTAAGTGATGCACAAATCATCAATCAAGATACGTAATTGATCACAGGGATTAAAATATTTACACTTTAGCAAATCAAAATGACTCAGGTCTGAATGTCGGCAGAAACTCGTCTAGAAAACTGGGTTTTCCTCGGTTCTTCCAGGCAAATTCCCCGATGTAAGCCGAGAGACCGTTTTTATGAACTCGCTAATTTAAGAACTTATTATTATCAAAGATAAATATTAATCCGAGGTAAATAACCCTAAGTGACGCATAAATCATCGATCAGGATATGCAATTGCAGATCTTGATCGCAGGGATTAAAATATTTACACTTTCTCATTACAGTGGAAAAAGAAACTGGGCATCGCCATTGCGGAGGTGGCCCAGTTTTTGAACATCTGGGGCCAAGGAAAGGCCATCAACAGGATGAGGGAGAAGGAAGACCATACCCCGTCAGTAATTACCCTGACATTCTTGGTGGCCATCACCGTCATTCTCTTGGTAAGTGACACGTAGTCTTAGGTTCCTGTGTTCGTTGCTCACACGCTCATTCTGTTCCTGCCTAAGCCTTGAACGATCTACGAGGTTCTTTGCCGCGATGATCCTGTGACCTTTGACATAGTCTTATTACGCAGAAGTGTAAATTATTTAAAAGAAGGCGAAGGAGGAGTGGAGAAAATGGGGCCAGAAGGAAACCAAAATAGTTTCACATTACTGAGATGTTCTTCGTGGAAGAACATCTCAAAGAGGTCCGCAGGATTTTGCAGACACAACTTCTTTGTGGACAAGTTCAAGGTCTGTAGTACAGAACCGTCAGTTCAGGTAAGTTCTCTACGACGACACCGTTTGCAGTGAGGCTTGCTGGGAGAACCCAGATTCAAGAAAGGTTCAAGGACGGAATTACCTCAATCCCTTGACAATTGTAATTATGGAGGGAAAGTCAAGTCTCCGAGAATTTGCCTGTTCGCGCTGTTCAAGAACTTATTTTTCCGAGGTATTTAACAAGTGCACGGTACTACAGTGACCTTAAGAGACGCATAAATCATGAATGAGGATACGCAATTGCAGATCTTGATCACAGGGATTAAAATATTTACACTTTCTCATTACAGCACCCAAGGCTGAAGTGTGTGAAGAAGACGCTAGCAATGGCGGCAATGCTATTCACCTTATCCGTGAAATTGGCTTTGGTGATAGATGGGGACAAAGATTCCCACGGTTACACTCCGATAGTGGTGTCGACCGGCTTCGCTGTCGATTTCGTGGTAAGTGACACGTTGTCTCACACGCCCTTTCTGGTCCTGCCTAAGCCTTGAACGATCTACGAGATTCTTTGCCGCGAAGATCCTGTGACCTTTGAC